GCAATTTATTTATTTGTTAATGTTTATACAATATATAAAGGAAGAATGTCACTATACTGTGTAAATACATAATATCATTTTTTTTTAAATTTCTAATATATCCTTAATCATAAGGGCAAATTTATCCTAATTTAATCCAAAAATTCTCCACAATCAGCAGAGTCCCATCATCTTCTTTATGTATGATTATCTACATTTTAATTATAATGGAATTTGACCTATAAATCCCATAAAATTTTTTTCTTAAACATTTGTTTGAATTGCTTTACCAATCGCAGACTCACAGTTTTTTGGTAGAAAGTATCCCGTCAAACATGCATCTGCTATAGTTGAAGGCAAATTTCCTATTTGTCCTAAAAAGTTCGAAAATTGTATTAAAGAAGCTTCTAATACTCAGCAGGAGTTAATTCATGGTTAGAAATACTTATTTAATATCCTCCTCGCTCACCTAAAAGTCTTGCCCTAGTATTTCAACTGAAGTTTCTCTGAAGCTGCCTTCAGTGATATGTAAACGTCCGGCATATTTACCAGAAAAGACCTGTCTCCTTGTCTCATTTGACATACGTCTTGAAAGAAAATTCTATGGGCTTTACAAAGTCTTGAGATTATCATAAGTCAACCAGGACAGCCACCCCATATTGTAGTATAAATCTTTGCTGCGTTGTGAAATAAATATGCGATGCTTAAGTTAAAACCATAAAACAGGGAATTTGAGGGTTACAAATGGACAGAAGGCTTTGTGATGCGGCACTGGAGGGAGATGTTACCGCTCTCGATCAGTTAGTTCAAGAAGATCCACTTGTTCTTGACAAAGCTGGTTTGAAGTGTGAGGATAAAAATCCTCTTCACCTAGCAGCAATACTGGGCCATGTAGATTTTGTAAAAGCAATCTTTCAAGTTGAATCTGCTCATTTTATGTGTTGGGCCCGTGATCGAGATGGCAGAAACCCTTTACATCTTGCTGCCATGTATGGCAGAGTGGCAGTCTTGCAAGTGCTAATTCATGCCGGATTTCGAGCAGCTCTAGAGAAGACAGACGGCGGGGGAACCATTTTACACCTCTGCATCAAATATAATCAGCTGGAAGCATTGAAGATACTGGTTGACAAATTAAAAGATCCGGAGTTCGTGAATGCCAAAAATGAAGATGGCATGACCATATTGCATCTGGCCGTGTACTATGAGCAATATGAGGTACAAGTCCCAAATCATGTTGGCTTAGTTTGAAACAAAAATTGGCATTAAATTTTAAAAAAATAAATAAATAAAAAAAGAAATCTTTTTCCAAGAATTGTCCAGCACTAACAAGTAGCAACTCATCTTGGCTTAGTTGAATTGGGATACAGTCTTATCCGGTGCAAATATTTTAACAGAGGGCCAAAGGCCCCTTAACAAGAAATTAGACTAGGAGTAAGCTGTCCTATAAAATCATTGCTTAACACATTCTCAAGTACATCTGGGGGTTCTCTGACTCAGTCTAGCTAGACAGTCTGCACTTGCATTGCCTTCCCTGCAGACATGCTTGACCTAAAAATCCCAGTTTTTATCCATTCAGCTTCTAATAAGTTTGATGAGGTTTAGGCGTGAGCTATTCTCTGTAATTCATAAGTTCCAAAATTGGTAAATGCAGACCATCAAATACTTGCTAGTTAACGCTGGAGTAGAGGTGAACATCAAGAACGCAAACGGGAAAACGGCGTTAGACCTTTTGTTTGGGCAGGGAGTCACCAAAAGTTCAGAAATTTCAAGCTGTCTTCAGGAGGCTGGTGCCATGAAAGCCAAGGAAATTCGCTCCCCTATTGACGACCGGAAGCTCAAGCAGCTAGAGTGGTTCGAGAAAAGCAGAGAAGCAATAATGGTGGTGGCCATACTTATTGCAACCATGGCTTTTCAAGCTGGGATAAGCCCTCCAGGAGGTGTGTGGCAAGATGACTTGTTAGAAGGACCAAATCCACACACAATAGGAGAAGCTGTTATGGCACAAAAGCATCCAAAATATTACTGGCTTCTGATTCGGGCAAACACGATAGCATTTGTTTCATCTCTGAGCACAATTATTTTGCTCATTCGTGGGTCGAGCATCCCCAGCAAGTGCTTAATGCCGTTGTTGGCCTTCGTCATGTGGCTAGCCATTGCAACCATTGCCATGACTTATGCTATAGCACTTGTTACAGTAGCACCAAAAGGAGCAAGAGGGCGGCAATTGGGTAATACAAGTGAGATTCTAGTCATCGTACTCATGGTCTGGAGCGGTTGGATGGTCACAACTCTGTATGAGATAAACGCTCTGTTCAAGAAATGCCTGAAAATTCATCGGATGGACAGCAGAGGCTACTTGTTTTCTCATTTTGTCCGTCAGGTGTTCTCTCGGGTCAGCTTGCGGGCACCCAGGTCTAGTGGCGGAGTTACTCCTCGTACCCCGAGTGGCGAGAGTCGGGTGTAAATGCAAGACATGGAAAGCATGCACATGCAAAATATGGCAATAATTATTTTTAATAACAAAAATATTGTATTCATCTATCATTCATATGAATCCCTACAAGTTAATTGAGTTAGAATTACATGTTACATGTTATTTTTTTCTTCGTTCTTGCAATTTGAATTTTTGTCTTGTTGGTAAAATATGAACCATGAACCTTTGCAACAGTTATTTGTTTGTTCATTAGTTCTTAAGGTAAACATGTCTGATGCTGTCATGTACTCAAGAGGGGTACTCAGCGGGCAGATGCCGAGAACTTCACAGGTGATAGAAGGGCATGACTTTATGGGGAGCAAGGAGGACAGGACATTAATATACTTCTAACCACGCATCAACTCCTGCAGACAATTAGAAAAGTCAAATTTTCTCAGCTAGAACACTTCTGGCTTAAAAGGACTTGTAGCTTTATTCTGGTCACTATATCAACAGGAGGTCATGGGAAATGATGGTCATTAGTTATACTTCTCCACTTGGAATGTATGTTAGACCTCACCTAACACACTCCAGCAACAAAGAAACTACTGACAGAGGCAATAATCTCAAATTTTTGATACTTTCGAAAGAAAAAAAAATGCCCATTCCTTGTCCAGTGGCTTTCCCTCCGACTTCCTTCTTTCCCCACCAATTCACACATCTTGTCCATTCATTGATAATTTTAGGGCTAAATTTGTCTTTTTACTTTACTTAACAAATTCCGTTATGTTTAATCGTCAGTCTTAGAGGTAAAGTGACTAAAAAATAACATTAAAGGGAAAATTAATAGTAGTACCAAACATTAAGGGGGTAAAGTGATAATAACCCTTTTAATTATAATGAAATTTGACCTATAAAGCCTATAAAAATTTTTTAAAGAGATAATTTTAACAAATATATTTTTTATTAACTGCACATACGTTAGAGTATGCCTTGAGCACTAGCACTACTAATTGTACGAATGAACATTAAATCATTAATTTCCACAATTAATCGTTAAATTTCACCAGAAACGGAAAACCACAAGTCAAGGAAGTGGGGTAGCTGGGGTACATGGAGTAACTCCGCCACTGGACCTAGGTGCCCGCAGGCTGAGCCGAGAGAGCAACTGACTGCCAAAATCAGAAAACGAGTAGCCTCTGCTGTCCATCCGACGAATTTTCAGCCATTTCTTGAACAGAGCGTTTATCTCATACAGGGTTGTGACCATCCAACCGCTCCAGACCATGAGTAGGATGACTAGAATATCACTTGTATTACCCAATTGCCGCCCTCTTGCTCCTTTTGGTGCTACTGTGACAAGTGCTATAGCATAAGTTATGGCTATGGCTGCAATGGCTAGCCACATGACGAAGGCCAACAGCGGCATCAAGTACTTGCTGGAGATGCTCGACCCACGAATGAGCAAAATAATTGTGCTCAGAGATGAAACAAATGCTATTGTGTTTGCCCGAATCAGAAGCCAGTAATATTTTGGATGCTTTTGTGCCATAACAGCTTCTCCTATTGTGTGTGGATTTGGTCCTACTAACAAGTCATCTTGCCACAGACCTCCTGGAGGGCTTATCCCAGCTTGAAAAGCCATGGTTGCAATAAGTATGGCCACCACCATTATTGCTTCTCTGCTTTTCTCGAACCACTCTAGCTGCTTGAGCTTCCGGTCGTCAATAGGGGAGCGAATATCCTTTGCTTTCAAGGCACCAGACTGCTGAAGAGACCTTGAAATTTCTGAACTTTTGGTGACTCCCTGCCCAAACAGAAGGTCCAACGCGGTTTTCCCGTTTGCGTTCTTGATGTTCACCTCTACTCCAGCGTCAACTAGCAAGAATTTGATGGTCTGCATTTACCAATTTTGGAACTGAGAAATTACAGAGAATAGCCCACACCTAAACCTCATCAAACTTATTAGAAGCTGGATAGAAAAGAGCTGGGATTTTGAGGTCAAGCAGCTCTGGAGGGAAGGCAATGCAAGTGCAGACTGTCTAGCTAGACTGAGTCAGAGCTTGGAACCAGGGCTGAAAGCGTTTAGAGAAACCCAGATGTACTTAAGAATGTGATAAGCAAATGATTTAATAGGACTAGCTACGCCTAGTCTAATTTCTTTGTAAAGGGCCTTTGGCCCTCCTTAGACCCCAAAAAAATTTTTTTTTTTCCACTCGGAATCACATTGTTAAAATTTTTGCACCAGATAAGATTGTTGCATTCCAATTCAACTAAGCCAAGATGATTTGCTACTTGTTAGTGCTGGACAATTCTTGCAAAAAGTTTTTTTTTTGTAATGGCAATTTTTGTTTCAAACTAAGCCAACATGATTTGCGACTTGTACCTGATATTGCCCATAGTATACGGCCAGGTGCAATATGGTCATGCCATCTTCATTTTTGGCATTCACAAACTCTGGGTCTTTTAATTTGTCAACCAGTATCTTCAATGCTTCCAGCTGATTGTATTTGATGCAGAGGTGCAAAACGGTTCCCCCGCCATCTGTCTTCTCCAGAGCTGCTTGAAATTCGGCACGAATTAGCACTAACAGGACCGCCACTTTTCCATACATGGCAGCAAGATGTAAAGGGTTTCTGCCATCTCGATCACGGGCCAAACACATAAAAAAAGCAGAATCAAATTGTAAGATTTCTTTTGCAAAATCTACATGGCCCAATATTGCTGCTATGTGAAGAGGATTCTTATCCAAGCACTTCAAAGCAGCTTTATCAAGAACAAGTGGATCTTCATGAATTAACTGACAAAGAGAGGTAACATCTCCTTCCAGCGCTGCATCACAAAGCCTTCTGTCCATTTGTAACCCTCCAATTCCCTGTTTATGGGTTTCACTTAAGCATCCCATATTTATTTCACTGCGCAGCAAAGATTTATACTACAATATGGTTAGGACGTGCATATTAAATGAGACAAGGACACAAACTTTTTCTGGTAAACATCCTGGACGCTGTCATATTATTCAAGGCAGCTCCAGAGAAACTTCGGTTGGCAGACAAGGGCTTTAACAGCCTCGTCTCCATTTCTCCCCCTGTGGTTCACCTTTTTACAAGGCTTTAAAGTGTCTCACACTCGTTTCAGGACGCAGGAAGGATTTATCCGGAATAGGGTGACTGCTATTTGACTTGATAGTCATCTCAAGACTTTGTTAAGTCCAAAGGATTTTCTTTTAAATTTGAGCATTTGACACGGTCTTGGTTCAGTAAAGAATGACTACATCGCATGAGAAATGGAATCAGGTCCTTAAAAAGGTAAAGGAAAGGGGCGGAACAATCATTGGTGTCTTCGTGTCTAGGCAGTGTAAAACAGAGATTTTTATGACAAAAAATACATTGTATTCAACTATCCTTCATATGAATTCCTGCAAGTTAATTGAGTTAGAATTACATGTTTCATGTCATTTTTTTTCTTTGATCTTGCAATTTGAATTTTTTGTCTTCTTGGTAAAATCGGAACCACGAACCTTTGCAACAGTTATTAGTTTGTTCATTAGTTCTCAAGGTAAACATGTTTGATGTTGTTATGTGCTCAAGAGGTGTACTCAGCGGGCAGATTCCGAGAACTTCAGTTGATAGAAGGGCAAGTCTTTTCGGGGAGCAAGGAGGACAGGGCATTACTATATTTCTAACTACGCATCAACTCCTGCAGACAATTAGAAAAGTCAAATTTTCTCAGCTAGAACAGTTCTGGCTTAAATGGACTTGTACCTTTACTCTTTTTAGGACCACAGGCAGGAATCTGCATTTTGCACACCGCATCACTTTGTTTGTATATGATATAATTTACTTTTAACAACGTTTAACTTTAAAACAAAATTTTATGAGTCCCACATATGTTATTAAAATCGAGATACAAGATGAAATTTGGATCGTACAAATTTTTTTGGCCAAATCTTGATCGTGAATTGCTCAAGAACGGTCCTTCTGATGACTGTTCGTGCCTCATTTCCCTTTACTCTGGTCACTATATCAGCAGGAGGGTCCATTTATAAGTGTATGCCAACTCATTATTTGTGATTTTTTTTTATCACATCTTTACTTTCTTTGCATATGTTCTTGTTTCCAGCTTTTATACACTCTTCCTCTCTCTCGCCTAATTGCCACCATGTTTCTTTCTATGTAAAATCAAATTAAACTAAAGAAAAATAATAAATAAAAGACATAATGGAGGGTAGTGTAGTATATCAGCACTGCAAGAGTGGCTGGGGCCAAAGATGACCGTTTGGAAGCTTTAGATCTCCACCAATACGGTATGGTAGTGTATCAGCAGGAGCCTGGAGCGTCTAGGGCCGTGAATCCGACATGTTCTTGAAGATCTGATGCCCGCGGCCACGGGAAGGCGGGAAGCCATTAGACCATAGTTATAAAATCCGGCTCGGTTTGGCTGTCGATAATCCCGTGAACCAATCATAGGATCGAATTGAATTGCTAATTAGACTAACTAAGTATTAAATTCGTTGATCAGTCAACGATTTGACGGTTCAATCGATGAATCCAGTGAACCATCAACTTAAAAATTTTACTGTTTTTATAATTTAAAATATATTATTATGTTATATAATATAGTTATTATGCAACCTACAATCGTACTGAAATAACGTTTCATGTGTCCATGATTGGAGATGAAAATGGGGTTAAGGATTAGAAGAACCGAGAAAATTCAAAATAGAAGGTTAAACCAATTGACTGAAATATTAACGTATCTATAACTCTCGACTAAAATTTAACTAAAAATGTGACCACTCACTAGGGAACGAAAGTGGCTATTTTTTTCTAAGATTAAAATCGCTTATTTTGGTTCTTACATAATAAAATTTTTCATTAACAGTATGCCAGGAATGATTGGTATTACTTTCCTTTTTGTGCTTGAGAAAGAAAAAGTCCCTGCAAAAAAATAAAAGACCCAAGCCAAGGAATATATATATATATATAGAAGTTTGCCGCTCATGGCAGCGAGGTGTAAAGACTTCCTTCCATCCTCATCACCTTTACAACAAAATTTAAGGCATACCTTTATACAGCAATATTAGATCAAGAGAGATGGTTTGAAGGGGTGTTACAAATGTCACTGTCCTTGAACTTTAATTTGCCCCTACAATTTTGGTACGAAAAAGAATTCCACAAATTAACTTTCAGGATATAACGAAATCTAGTGATTGACTGAGTTTTATACTAACGACATCATTTCACTAAAAGCACTCAAGAGTTTGACATATTTGTCTATATTTATGGAGAACTTTGGAAGAATATCCTATACATGTATAAAAAGGAGTGGGTGTTTGACTGATGGATAAGGTTAGAGTACCAGCATGGTATGCGTTTTGGTGTGTGCATTACCCACCATACCCTTAGTGGGATGATGCTTACACTGTGAATGTGTGGTTATGGAGTGATTGTTTCGACTTTACCTTTCAAAGTAGATGTTAGCTGTGCAGTTAAGACAGAGAGGTTCTTCCATGGATTTGTAATTGCTGCAAATGGTCAGATGAGTAATTGAGCTTGTGCAAAGACTTCGAGGGGTTAATTGAATTATTGAAGCATGTTTACATGCTCACATGAATGCATTGAGAACAAGATTAATTCAATGCTTGATGGTGGAAATGTAACTGCAAACCTTTTCCCTTCTAAACTTTTACAAAATCAATTGAGTTGCTCTAAAAAGTAGGATGATTAGAGTGAGCAATTATGGCCTCTTTGATACAACAGCAATGGATGGAAGATGAGGGACCTCTTGGAAAGCATCTCCAAACTGAAATGGAAAGCCTTTTGCTCTTCTGAAGCATTTGTTGTGCAGTTTTTTAGGAATCTACAATAATGGAGGTCGTATACACAAAGTATGGTTGGATGAGTTTCTTAAGCTTCGTATTACCAAGATGGTGTCCGAAGAGATAAGGTTTCTTGCCCTATGTTTTTTAGGTAGATTCTATATGTGTGTATCCAATTTTCCAATGAAACAGTTACTATATTGGGGAATTTGCAATTATATTTGTAACTCTATCCTTGAATTTACATGTTTGCCAGTGACTCGAGTTCAAGTGGGAGGCAAGGGTTCATCCAGCAGCAGATTTGTCATCAAGGTACTTTCTAAAACAATTGTTCCAATTAATGCATTATTTTCGTGCGTTGGCTACAATGCAAGATGGTCTATACCGCCTACTTACAGAAGAAGCCACCAAGTTACAATTCCTGCGTCGAGCGCGGGTGCCACCCCTAGTGATTATAACAATCCAAATCACTCCATATACAAACTAATATGGATGTTGGTTATATTTAAAGAGCCATTCATGTCCCTTGAAAATGGACATGCCCATTCGCTAATCCATGGCTTTAGTGAATAGGCACCATAACCAACTACTAGTCATTATAGTTGCAACCCTTTATTTTGAAAATTCTCCAACAATCACGCACTAAACACACGTAAGGGGATTCTTATCCTCACACTTCAAAGCAGCTTTACGAAGAACAAGTGGATCTTCTTGAAGTAACAGATAAAGAGTGGTAACATCTCCTTCCAGTGCCGCATCACAGACCCTTCTGTCCATTTGTCACTCTACAATTCACAGAAACAGAAAACCGCATGTCAAGGATGTGGGATTGGGATTGGGGTTGGGGTAGGTGGAGTAACTCTGCCATTAGGCCTGGGTGCCCGCAAGCTGAGCCGAGAGAGCACCTGACTGCCAAAATAAAAAAACAAGTAGCTTCTGCTGTCCATCCGGCGAATTTTCAGCCATTTCTTGAACAGAGCGTTTATCTCATACAGGGTTGCGACCATCCAACCGCTCCAGACCATGAGTAGGATGACTAGAATATCACTTGTATTACCCAATTGCCGCCCTCTTGCTCCTTTTGGTGCTACTGTAACAAATGCTATACCATAAGTTATGGCTATGGTTGCAATGGCTAGCCACATGACGAAGGCCAACAGCGGCATAAAGTACTTGCTGGGGATGCTCGACCCACGAATGAGCAAAATAATTGTGCTCAGAGATGAAACAAATGCTATTGTGTTTGTCCGAATCAGAAGCCAGTAATATTTTGGATGCTTTTGTGCCATAACAGCTTCTCCTATTGTGTGTGGATTTGGTCCTTCTAACAAGTCATCTTGCCACAGACCTCCTGGAGGGCTTATCCCAGCTTGAAAAGCCATGGTTGCAATAAGTATGGCCACCACCATTAGTGCTTCTCTGCTTTTGTCGAACCACTCTAGCTGCTTGAGCTTTCGGTCGTCAATAGGGGAGCGAATATCCTTGGCTTTCAAGGCACCAGCCTCCTGAAGAGACCTTGAAATTTCTGAATTTTTGGTGATTCCCTGCCCAAACAAAAGGTCTAACGCGGTTTTCCCGTTTGCGTTCTTGATGTTCACCTCTACTCCAGCGTCAACTAGCAAGTATTTGATGGTCTGCATTTACCAATTTTGGAACTGATGAATTACAGAGAATAGCTCACGCCTAAGCCTCATCAAACTTATTAGAAGCTGGATGGATAAAGGCTGGGATTTTGAGGTCAAGCATGTCTGGAGGGAAGGCAATGCAAGTGCAGACTGTCTTGTTAAAACCAACTATGTACATATGAATCTACTATGCAGCGGAGATCTAAATACACTTACCTCTAACCATTGTTGTCAAGTACAAGTTGATCTCTTCTTATATCTTTGACTCCTTCTTATCTATTCTAACAAAACAAAATATGCAGAAGAAGAAAAAGTATAAGGAGAATTTAGAGTAAAGATCTTCTAACTTATGCCTAACCCAAAAATGTACAATTGATGGAATATCACAGACTATTTATAGGTTAGATTAGGGACACTTACTAGTAAATACAAAAATCTCTAGGGTTTCCTTCTATCAAGAAAATCTTGCCAAAATTCATAACTGAAAATAACATTTTCTGACTAATTGATTGATTTGATTGATTAATTGATTGAATAATATATCAATTAACAAAGATATCAATCAATCATTAACAAATGAGAGATACTAATTAGTTGATTGACGGATACTAATTAATTATTGACAAAATATCAATCAATTAATTATGATATCAATCACTTGAGAATCAATCATGTGGGTCATAATTGCCTCAACTCTTACATGTCTAGCTAGACTGAGTCAGGGCTCGGAACCAGGGCTGAAAGTGTTTAGAGAACCCCCAGATGTACTTAAAAATGTGTTAAGCAATGATTTTATAGGACTAGCTACTCCTAGTCTAATTTCTTTGTAAAGGGCCTTTGGCCCTCCGTAGGACCGCAAAAAATTTTTAATCGGAATCACTATGTTAAAATTTTTGCACCAGATAAGACTGTATCACAATTCAACTAAGCCAAGATGATTTGTTACTTGTTAGTGCTGGACAATTCTTGGAAAAAGTTTTCTTCTTTTTTTTTTTTTAAATTTAATGCCAATTTTTGTTTCAAACTAAGCCAACATGATTTGCGGCTTGTACCTCATGTTGCTCATAGTACACGGCCAGGTGCAATATGGTCATGCCATCTTCATTTTTGGCATTCACGAACTCTGGATCTTTTAATTTGTCAGCCAGTATCTTCAGTGCTACCGGCTGATTGTATTTGATGCAGAGGTGCAAAACGGTTCCCCCGCCGTCTGTCTTCTCTAGAGCTGCTCGAAATCCGCCACGAATTAGCAGTAACAAGACCGGCAATTTTCCATGCATGGCAGCAAGATGTAAAGGGTTTCTGCCATCTCGATCCCGAGCCCAACACATAAAATGAGCAGATTCAATTTGTAAGATTGCTTTTACAAAATCTACATGGCCCAATATTGCTGCTAGGTGAAGAGGATTCTTATCCTCACACTTCACAGCAGCTTTATGAAGAGCAAGTGGATCTGCTTGAATTAACTGATAAAAAGTGGTAACATCTCCTTCCAGTGCTGCATCACAAACCCTTCTGTCCATTTGTAAATTCCCTGTTTTTTGGTTTTAACCTAAGCATCCCATATTTATTTCACAACGCAGCAAAGATTTATGCTGCAATATGGGGTGGCAGTCCTGGTTAACTTATGCTAATCTCAAGACTTTGTAAAGCCCATAGAATTTTCTTTTCAGACGCACCTTTACGTATCACTGAAGGCAAGGACACATTTCTTTCCTGGTAAATATGCCGGACGTTTACGTATCACTGAAGGCAGCTTCAGAGAAACGTCAGTTGAAATACTAGGGCAAGACTTTTAAGAGAGCGAGGAGGACCTGCCGAGTATTAGAAGCTTCTTTAATACAATTTTCGAGCTTTTTAGGACAAATAGGAAATTTGCCTTCAACTATAGCAGATGCATGTTTAACAGGATACTTTCCACCAAAAAACTGGGAGTCTGCGATTGGTAAAGCAATTCAAACAAATGTTTAAGAAAAAGAAACAAGAGGAGACTTAGATGAACAGTTTTTGTAATTTAGTCCCAGAACCATATATGACACGCGACGAGTGGATTAGTGTTATTCAAGAATATTACAACATCTTTCAGTTACTTGCTTCGGAAACAGTTCTTATACAGATCACTAGTACTATTAAATATTTACCTAAATGATGAGCTTCATCATTATAGCTCATCATTCTCCTCTTCTGCAATTGTGGGTTCCCTCTCTTTTTCCTTAACATATCCTTTCTTTCTAAGCACATGGAGAACCCCTCTAATGACATTACCGATGAATACAACTCCCATAAGACAGAACCATACTAGAACTGAAATCCTAGTCACATGGCTGAGGGTACCTTTCAGACGACCAGGACTCAAATTAACAAAACTAATGAAGTATGTTATGCTTTGAGTACTGATGGCAATCCACATTATGACCAGTTGAGTCCACATCCACCGATGTCGTCTTAGAGGCAATCCACTAACCTGTAATAGGATTATGCTCAAGGAAGCAAGGAAAGAAATGGTGTTGAAGATCAAAAATTGACCGTATGCTTGATGGAGATTACTTGCCATTACTGATTGACCTGCATAATGTGGGTTTTCCACTTGGTTGCCATTCGAATCTACAACATAATCGCTGGCCCAAACACCCCCAGGAGGGGATAGTCCGGCTTGAAAGGCCACAGTAGCAACCAATGATGCTACAACCATTAATGCGCTTCGCATCTTAGCTAGCCAGTCTGTTTGTTTATGCTTGTTGGGCTGCTTGTTTTTGCTGATAGTCGGCAAATTCTGCAACCTGGCAATCGATGAAGTAGTTCTGGCTGCATCTGTCACCGGTACCCTTAAGGATGTGTGTTTGATATATGAAGATCTACCGTGTTCAAGACATTGTTTAATGTCCATGTTTCTCAAGTCTTCTTGGCTTTGTAGCAAGACATCCAGAGCAGTTAAACCAAGAACGTTTCGAGCATGAACATCAATTTCTGTATTGATCAGCAAATATTTGATGATCTGCAGAGAAATCGTTATTCAGCCTGTTACCACCATATTACAACATATATTTTTTATGCATTCAGCAAAATGCATATTAGTACTAAGGAGCAAAACCAGCAGCAACTAACAAAACAGTTTCCAGAAAGAAGAATAATAGAAGGAAAAGAATCTAGTGAGAATAATGAAAATTGTTGATCACAAACTAAGAGAAAGAAATGATGGCAGATTTTTAAACGAGTCTGTCTGCCAATATCACATCGCGCAGCCTTAAACGAACCAGAATTGTTAACTGGTTGCCGGCACTAGTGAAGGCACTTGTTTGGTCAAAAAAATTTGTATTTGCAGACTGCATTCTACAATTACAAATGTTTTCCCGCCCTTTAAATGGCTAAAGAAAGATTACTGAAACATCCAACATTTTTGGCCTCCAGGTGATAAGACCGAATTTGGAATACAATCTGCATTTTACCAAACATAGGGCAGGATTAACGCCATATCAGATTTTAGCGACTATTTTCCAAACCACAAGCTTACCTCAATCTGCTTTTTGGCCACGGCAAGATGGAGAATGGTATTCCCATTCTGATCTTTCCAGTTGACAAACTGATCAATCTCTTTCTTCAATCTTTCAACCAAAACCTTCAACACCTCAAACCGATTATAATTCACAGACAGATGCAGACAAGTCTCTCCTCTACCAGTCAAAACCCAAGCCGCCTCCGGCTTAGCTCTGATCAACTCAGTCAAAACTTCAACCCGGCCTTTAATCACAGCTAAATGAAGAGGGCTCCGCCCATCATGATCCAACACAAAACACATGTCTGGGTTCACCAAGACCAACTCTTTCACTATCTCCACATACCCTTTTGCCGCAGCCAAGTGCAGAGGTGAGGACCCCCTAGAATTCAGTGATTTAGCGAGCTCGGGCTTCTGGGTCAAGAATCCTTTCGTGATTTCTAGCCGACCCAGAAGGGAAGCTACGTGTAAAGGAGTTTCAAGCATGGAAGAAGAAGATACGGGGAATGAATTGAGAATTAGAGGATCTTCTTGAAGGATTTGTGATAGAATTGAGACTGTTCCGTTCATGGCTGCTTGATAAAGCCTTGTTTTTCTGGTTTGAAGCTCTTCCTCTTTATCATCAATTAACAAGTTCATAAGCTGCATTCGGTTTCACTATTTTGTAGGGCAAATGATAGAATTTGAATGAACTTTGGAACGAAACACGGTTTGATGACCCATGAGATCTCCTCCTGCTATAGCAACTATTCTTTAATCAACAGCTGTTTTATGAATTATTCAACTCCTTTACTTCTATGCTTTCCTCAAAAGTCACAGTTGAACAACCTGCTCAATTCTCTAATCCACTGACGGTTGACTACGTCTTAGGTTACCGATTTTTCAAACAAATCTTTTGGGATTCGGTTGGAGTCCACCGCTGTAAAAACAACAACGTAGTCAACCCGACAATTCTCTTCCTTAAAAAATAAGGGATAATATCACAAACATCCCCTGAGGCTTATGATGATTGCAGGAAGTACCCTCTAGGTTTACAAAATTATGTATACCTCCCTTAGAAAATAGTTTGGCCTCAATTTGCTGATGTAAGCAAAATATTTCCATTGATAATCCTATATTACTCTTAGGGGAATTTTCTCTATATAAATAAAATTCTTTTGTAATTTTAAACTTAATATATTGCCACATAGCTTAAGAAAACTATCTAAGAAATTTGTTTCTCTTTCCTCAGATAAAAAAAAAAATCACACGGACAAATCGAAAAAAAAAACTTGGATACTAATTGATTAAGTAACCTATTTTTGTAGGAATCTAGAATTTTTTTTCCAAATTACTACAATATTAAGTAAACTTGGATTGAGCTGTTTCGAGTAGTTAGGACAAGAGAGAATCTTTGACTCTTTGTTCCTCTTTGTTTTTTCTCATTTTTCTTTTAGCAATTTGTTAACTTTAATTTTAAATATGTATTACTTCACTTCATGGAGATATTAAATTGAGTAATTCATGAAGATTATTTTTGTTGATTTACACCTTGAGGGGAGGTAGGTGTAATTTTTTAAACATAGAGGGTACCGTATAAAACTAGCGTAAACCTCAAGGGAGGTTTGTGAAAGTGTTTCTAAAAATTACAACATACGTGTTTTTTTTGGGGGGGGGGGGTTCAAAATTACTTGCATACGTTACACATTCAAAAAAAAAATTAAAAAAATGTGTTCCCTTGATCCAAATAATAAATGTTGATTTTGGCATTGCGGCCTCGAGGTGTTCAACTGGATTTGCTTAATCACTTAAATAAAGAAACCAATTGGAATTTGGTTCAAATGGTTGTTCAAGTGGCTAACAGTTCAGTTAACATTTAGAACTTTCATAATTGGTGATTTAGCTATCAAAACCTAAACTAATAAGGGATTACCTATTACATATTATATATATATATATATATATATATATCTGTGTGTGTGTGAGAGTGTAATGTCTAATGTGGCGAGCTTTTGCTTTGTGATGGAAAATTTTATTTTGAAAAATATGGGGACGAAAAAATTTATTTTTGTGAAATGTAAGGGACGAACAATTCATTATATAAAATATTAAGGACGAAAAAATTTATTTTTGCTAAATGTGAGGAACTATGAATCGGGTTCAATAAAATTTGATTTGACAATTTTGCCCTTAAAAAATGATGGATTCCAACCAAAAACTAATCGGAACTTAGGTTATGACCAAATTTGATTAATATGAATTTGTAAGGGATGTAAAATTATACTTTTAAAAGAGAGGGACGAAAAAATTTATTTTTCAAAATGTGAGAGATGTGTTCAACGATTTACCTTTTAATAATTTTATACAAAACAATCAATGTGTAACCCAATTGAATCGTCTGAACAAGAGAAGAAACGACCATGGGAATTTGATTCCTTGCTTTCTTTTCTATCCGTTTTGTTTTTGTTTGTACTTGGGATTTGGCAGATGTGAAACCAAAAAGTGTTCCCTTCTACATTTTCCACCGTAGGAGGTAGACTTTAACATGCTAATTCTAACTTTCTCATTACTATAATCATGATCTAGAAGCAAAAATAGATTAATTCCTAAGCTTTCAATTTTCTTGTGGGCAGTTTCTCATGTAAAATATTAAATATTCCTAACCATTGATTCTACTAATCTCCAGAAATCAATACATGTCCATACCACTTGCACTGCTATATAAGACTAATATTATTCCCTTGTCTGAAGCAGTAAAAGAGTGAAAACACTTGCATTTCCCCATAGAGATAGTTCAAATCATCAGAACATGGCTTCTGATTCCAAATTCTCCCTTTTCAATTTTGATCAACTGGAAATTGCCTTAATGGATTTCCGTGCCCAATGGCAAACTGCAGACTTTTCAGGTCACGCTGAATTGCACCATAAACTGGGTAATCTCATCCTCCAACTCGACCATTGGAGCTGTTTGAGAGGAATCCTGATTTACATTCACAGGTGCATCCATGGTGCAGAAAAGGTGCAGAATTTGGGATCTCTCATCGTCAAACTTGAAGCTGCATCAGACGAGATCGCAAAGGAACTTGTGATTGCTCGTGCCCAGAATCTCATCCCAGAAAGGCCTCGGAAAGCTCTGCATTTGCTCCGTTTGCTGGAGAAAAAGATTGAGCCTTTCAAGCCAGAAATCGGGCAAGTTCTTCATCATCTGCTTTCAGTCAGCTTACTGGAATCTCAAACTAAGTTTCTTGCTTGGAGTGCTGGATTTTAAGTTCGAAAGCTGCAGCGACACTGTGATTGACATTTACCTAAATCATGTTGCGTCTCTGGCTGTACGCATAGCTTATCAGTCTTATCATTATTGGGTCAGGGCAATGGATGAAACTCCGGCACAAAGTAGTAAGGCGCTTGATCCTCTGTATCTTCAACATGAGATTGATCCTACTACTCCAGAGGTATTAGAGTCCAATCTCATATTCCTACAACACGAGATTGATCCCAAAAATCCACAGTTCTGGGAGTTGACTCTCAATTTCCTGACATCTCTCAACAAGATCAGCCCTGGCCGAAATGAAGCTTTGGCGGATTACTTTCTCTGCTCTCTCTTAAATTGGGAACAGGGACACGGAATTTTCCCGATGTTGAAGTCCTTGGTAGCCTTTGTTATTAATGAACCAGAGGAATCCAGTGAAGATATGCAGAGTCTCTCAGAAGAAATAAAAGTTCTGCTGCCATTAACAGCATCAATCTCGGCCAATGTGGAAGAGTTATACTTATTCATTTGTCTTCTCAAAGTAGAAGTCTTTCTTAAGGAGCAACTGATACTGAGCAGCAGCAGTACCTTCATGAAGGAGAAGAGCCAGACTAAAGACCTAAGGGAGGTTTTGAACTTCGTTGGAAACTTTACAATGTATCTGCCACAGGCAAAGATAGAAGATGGGGAAGAAACCTTTGCAACTATTCAAGAAAAGACTGAGAAAGTAGAAAATCTTTATCAGTCCTTTCATGCCAATCTAATTACCGAAGAGGAGGCCAGGAGCTTACTTTACGCATGGCTTTTGGAGGTTGTCTTTACCAAAGCAGAAACCGTTGCTTCTCAGTTGTTGCAAAATGGTGCAAGTTTGATGGCCTTTGGAGAATTTCAAATTGAAACTGTTAATCAAGGGCTGGAGTTGTTTGAAGCGTTTATTGGCAATCGCTTGAAGGAGATTACAACAGACATGAACTCAATCGTCATACAGTTTGAAGCAGCTGCCAGGAGAGTAACATCTCTCTTTTACTCGTTTGTTTTTGAGCAAACGACAGAAGTGATCATCCAGAAAAGGATTATTTTGTTCTCTAATTTGCTGCACAAGATGGAACTCATCAAGTCAGAGCTAAGGGAGATGTCGACACATTTTCATAAGTCTCATATCCCGAAGACTTACAGGACGGGCTTCCTTGATTCTCTCTTATATAACATAAAGGAACTGCACCAACGTGATCCAAAGTCAATAGCTTTAGTGAAGCATCATATTGAAGAGATGCTGTTGGATCTGGAGTCTTTGAAATTGTCTCTCATGAATATTCTTCAGCAAGATAGCCAGGATCCAGATTTGAAAGACCTCGGTGCTCATTTTATCGATGTGGCATATGAGGCGGAATATGTCATCGACTTGATAGAAGTTGGAATTGGTGCTCATTGGCAACATCAATTATGGATTACTGATCTTCTTCAAGAGATTAAATCTATCAAGACAAAAGCCTCTCAAATTTTTGAGGGGAAAACTTGTGATGCCCGAGCTCCAAAAGTCACCAAGATCTCAAGCCCCAGACTAATGCAAGCTAGGACCCCTAAGATTGATGAAACTGTGGTATGTCTCGGTGACCAGATGAAAGATACTATTGATCGACTAACAAGACGATCTTTGGAGCTGGATATCATCTCTATTATTGGTATGCCAGGCATTGGCAAGACAACTCTGGCCAGAAAAGTTTACAATGATCTCAGAGTTGAACGTTGTTTTTATTTTCGGGCATGGTGTTCTGTTTCACAAGAATATCATAAAAGGGATTTGTTGCTCGAAATTTTAAGCAACGATACCGGGCTTAAGGATGGCATTCACCAAATGAATGATGAAGACTTGGAGATGAAGTTGTACCAGTGCTTGAAAAATAGAAAGTATCTGATCGTGATGGATGATGTTTGGGATGCTACAGCTTGGAGGGAATTACAAAGGGCATTCCCAAATGATAAGAACGGCAGTAGAATTTTGATGACGAGCCGTGTGTCCTTGGAGGAAGCCGAGCTAAAGACTAATCCATACAGCCTTCGTCCATTTTCCAATGATGAAAGTTGGAAGTTGTTACAAATGAAGATATTTCATGGTGATTGTCCGGAGGAACTATTGGAGGTTGGGAAGGAAATTGCTGAAAAGTGCAAGGGGTTGCCTCTTGCAATTGTTGCAATAGCTGGTCTTCTTGAAAGGGCGGAAAAGAAACTAAAGGTTTGGAAGACGATTGCAGAAAGTTTAAGCTCTAGGATTGTTGATGATCGACAAACGCCATGCATGGAGATCCTCCTGTTAAGTTACGAGCACTTGCCTGATCATTTGAAAGCATGCTTTCTATATATCGGTGCATTTTTGGAGGACAGAGATATTCCTGTGCGCAAGTTCATAAGGTTGTGGATAGCCGAAGGGTTCATTCAGAAAAGTAAGCTGGAAGGCTTAGAAGATCTTGCAGAGGACTATTTGATGGATCTTATCGGCCGAAGCCTTGTAACAGTTTCCAGAAAAAGAACCACGGGACAGGTCAAAGCATGCCGCATCCATGATCTTCTGCGCCAAATGTGCTTGTCAAAAGCAAAAGAAGAGAACTTTCTACAGCTGATCACCAGGTATGATGAACCATATACTGTATTTGATGATGTAGATGGTGGTTCTGAT